TATGCACCCATATGCATACACACGAACACGCATACGTACGCACGTATACGCATACGCATGCACGTACACGCATGCACGTACACGCATGCACGTACACGCAAATGCATACGCACACATTCACTAGCTTGGCGTCTCCCGACTGCTCTTGTAAAATATGCAATTAATAATTAGTGTAATAAGAAAGTATAATTTATTATTAGTTAATTCTAAAATCTTATTACTAGTTAATCTAAAATTAGAACTGTTCAAATTAACAATACTCTTCAAATAAATAATACTTCGAATAAACTTATTTGTGTGATTTCTTATACTTTATGTTATACTAAATATATAATAATAATATCATAATAGATATTATTTCAAACTTTTCTAAACAAATTTTTTTATTTGAAATATTTTTTTTGTTATATTATCTTTTTTATATTGTTTTTTTGTTATATTATTTTTTTATATTGTTTTTTTATTAATTTAATCTTTTCTATTGTTTGTTTTATTAAATAATTTTTCTGTTGTTTTTTTTTTGTTATATTATTTTTTTTATTAATTAGACCAACCCATTCGATCGAGCTATCAGATGAAATTGAGTAAAGAATTCCAGCAAAGGGTCACTTTTGTCAAAGTTATCGGGTTTCAATTTATAACCACAATTATTTAAATTTAAATTTCCGTGTTCAGCATGCAAATCATTATTTCTATTATTAAAATTTCCGCGCTCAGTATGCCCCTCTCTATTATCTCTATTATAAGAATGACTTAGCTGGCTATAGCTATCGTTGTTATCCAGCTGTCGTATCCTCTCCTCCATTCTGCGAAGCATTTCCTCACGCTGTTGCAGCTGCGCCTCATAATCAGCTTGCTACTGTAACCGTTTCTCTCGGAGCTGCCTAATCTCCCGCAACGCAGATTGGAATGTGATCGCCTCTATAATTAATAATTAAATAAACATGTTATAAGAATAAATTCAAACAAATAATTCAAAGAACTATTTAATAATTCAAATAAACATGTTATAAGAATAAATTCAAACAAATAATAAATTCAAATAATAATAATTAATAATTAAAATTAACATTTTATAAACAATGATTAATAAATAAATAAACATGTTATAAGAATAAATTCAAATTAACAATAAATAAATAATACTTCGAATAAACTTATTTGTGTGATTTCTTATACTTTATATTATACTAAATATGTAATAATAATAATATAATAATAGATATTATTTCAAACTTTTCTAAGCAAATTTTTTTATTTGAAATATTTTTGTTGTTATATTATTTTTTTTTCTATTTTTTTTTGTTATATTATTTTTTTTCTTTTGTTTTTTTATTAATTTAATTTTTTATATTGTTTGTTTTATTAAATAATTTTTCTACTGTTTTTTTTTGTTATGTTTTTTTGTTATATTATTTTCTTTATTAATTAAATGTTGGGCTTTTGTTGGCAGCAGTCGGGAGGGATTTTTGTTTTTTTAAATGTTTTTGTTTGTTATATTATTTTTCTATTGTTTTTTTTATTATTAAATAATTTTTCTATTGTTTTTTTTGTTTTATATTTTTTTATTGTTTGTTTTTGTTATATAATTTTTTTTCTATTATTTTTTTGTTAATTTAATTTTTTCTATTGTTTTTTTTGTTATTAAAATATGTACAGTTAAATTAATTAATATAGTAGTAAATAGTTAAAATAGATATGTCAGAATACTTGAGTATTTGATTTTTGTTATATTCTAAACATATCAACAGAAAAGTCAATATTAAGGATGGCCGATACTTATATATTGTGGATTATGGTGGTAGAGACGAGAAAAGTGGATAGAACGATTTTTGTATTTATGTCCATAAATAAATGACTTTGTCACATGTACTTTCTCCTATCTTTCTTACTTCTACGTTATAAATTTAAAATATATTTACGTACTATTTCGTTTCTTTGCACTTCCGCCAGTTTTTTTTATTGATTTGCTGCTATCATCGAGGATACTATATGATTCCGCTTCAATTTCATTGGATAAACTCATATCATTCTCTACTGAAGTTTCTCCGTTTTCATGATTACTATCTGTTTCATCACTTTCGAAGTTATTGACACCTTGTGCTTTTTGTAAAACTTGCGACATCCGTACAATATCTCTACTTATAACGGGTTGCCTGTAGATTTCTTTGTGTATTGTTATTGCATGACCCATATGGTTTGCCAGATCAGAAACATCATTTTCTGATAAATCTAACGCTACACTTATCGTAGCAACGTGTTTTCTGAGATCCGTTCCACGTAGATTCCATGGTCGTTTTTCACCACATGCCGTAGAAAACTGTCGCATCAATTCGCAAGCATTTAAGTATTTAAAACAACTTTTGTTGTATCCCGGAATTCCAAATAAATATGGATTTGTAGCAGGTACATGAGCATTAGCTCGATATTTTAAAATCAATTTAATACATTTCAATAATTGAGCTGATAGTAATACAGGAACAGTATGCATTAATTTTCCGCGTATAGTAAATCTTACATATTTTTTTGCAATTTCTCGTGCTGCACCTGACAGAGATAGAAATAAGTCTTTATCTGTTTTCTCTGAAATTTCTATGTAGTTTTCAAAATCTTTGATGAGAAGATGTTCTATTTCGCCCGTTCTACGGCGATTAAATAATTGCACAGATGTAAGAGTTACTTTTGTTAGTTCCAGCCAACTATTATAACAAAATGTTTCCTTTAATATCTCATACAGGGATTTACGTTTTTCATCAAGATAATTACAAAGTTTTTTGATATCGTCCATTAAAGAAAGTTCCGTTTTTTTACACCTTCTATTTTCTTTCTGCGCTTACAAAGCGGCTTTATTAACACTAATTGGAAAATCATCGATGAGAAGAGCAAGGAATCCCTCAGTATTTTTCTTTGTTTCGTAATCTTTGTTCTTTATACTTTGAGTAATCAGAACATTTCCTACTTTTTTAAATAAAGTTCCCATTAGTTGTGGTGTTGTTGTCACTTTGTAAGTACTTGTGCGATCGTCAAATCCAGACATCCTATTAACTGTTCTGATAGAATCTTCGTAAAATGTAGGATGATAAATTGACTTCATGTCTGTAACTTGAACGTTTAGCTATCTCATCGTTTTTAAGAAACGACCAAGGTATCTAAGATGTGAACGAATTAACTTATGCTGATATTGTTTACGATATTTACGGCATAATCTATTACCAAACGTAATAATTAATTCGTCATATCGAATTAAACGTATTATTTCATCTTCTCTGAGTGCAGGGAAAAATACTTTTCGTAATGTTTCTTCTGCTATAGGATGAATACGTCCAATAATCGCTCTGCCCATAACTAACACAGATCTAGTATATTTACTACCATGGCCTGTGCACTGTTTAAAATGGCGTCTGATGCTACTTTTCACAAAAAATCCCTTGCATTTTGCACAAGCTGTATAGTCTTTTGCGCCTTTTTGCTTATCTTTTCGAGGGCGCCTGCACACAATAAGTTTTTCGTCATTAACATTATTATTAGTATTATAAACAAAATTGCCGTTCCTTCTTATTGTTTCAATTATTCTTCTTCTTTCCAAATTATTTGGATGTAGATCAAGGAACTTCTTAACTTCAGGTTCATTGCGGTGAACTGTAGTCAAATGTCGAGCAATCTTTGATTGCATCTTTCGGCAATAGACGCAGCAATTTTTTTTATTGCCACCTTTAGGTCCTTCAGATGGATCGATATTAAGATTAGTGTCATCAGAGCAAAATACATTGCTCTTATTAAGTTGTACAGATACTTCAAAGCCCGAAGTATTATTTGAATTTTTTGTTGATTCACATGATTGTTTCTTTTTATTGGTTGCATCAAGAAATACATTGTTATTAGCATCTGTTTCTACCAAAATGGAATTATGTTCAGAAGGACAATATTCTGAATTTGAATTTTCTTTAAGTATTGTGGAATCTAAAAATTCCAGACCTAGCAAAACAGTTATCAGAGCATTGATTAAAATGCGTATTTTTATATTTTTGAAAACACGTATAATACAATGTATATTATAATAAGTAAGTAATTTGCAGAAAAATTATAATAGTGATGTTTTAATAATATTATTTTAATATACGTGTTTTCGAAAATATAAAAATATGCATTTTAATCAATGTCATTTGTAAAACTTTATCAAAGACAATGAACGAATTAATGCTATTCAAAATTTTAACAAAAATGAAAATAGTAATTAAAAACTTACTGTCATAGTTTTGATAATCATCAATGCAGTTCGCTTCTAACAGCTTATTCTGTTTATCAAAATCGTGCACAGTTTCATCATTGTCTGTTCTTTCATTAATATCTGCAAAATTATCCGAAAATATTTAATAGAACGTAAATTGTTTTTTTTTGTGATAAAATTAGATTAAATTCGATTCTTTACAGTTTTATGAAAGTTTAATTGAATACATAAAAATAGTAATTAAAAACTTACGGTCAGTTTTGATAATCATCAATGCAGTTCGCTTCTAACGGCTCATTCTGTTTATCAAAATCGTGCACAGTTTCAATATTGTCTGTTCTTTCATTAATATCTGCAAAATTATCCGAAAATATTTAATAGAACGTAAATTGTTCTTTTCCGAGATAAAATTAGATTAAATTCGATTCTTTAGTTTTATGAAAGTTTTATTGAATACATGAAAATAGTAATTAAAAACTTACGGTCATAGTTTTGATAATCATCAATGTAGTTCTCTTCTAACAGCTCATACTGTGTATCAAAATCGTGCGCAGTTTCATCATTGTCTGTTCTTTCATTAATATCTGCAAAATTATCCGAAAATATTTAATAAAATGTAAATTGTTTTTTTCCGAGATAAAATTAGATTAAATTCGATTCTTTAGTTTTGTGAAAGTTTTATTTAATACGTTTAAGAAACATATCTAATGATTTCGTTTTACAATACTAAGCTTTTAATAAGACGTACGTTTAATAAGACATTTTTAATAAAACATACGAAACATACGAACTGATAATCTTCTCTCGAGACAAAAAGGAGAATGTGTATATTTTCTAAGTACGCACCATTAGTACAAATAGTGCCAATATCATCTTCTAGTATAAAATGTACCGAATCATCATTGCTGACACAATTCAGCGGCGAGGTAATCAGTGTACTTTTCGTGTTCGTTGATGTATTCTTATCATATAGAATATAGTTCTAAAGAATATCAGTCTTATCATTGGACGGTTGAATTGAAGAAAAATGAAGTGGATTATCACTGTAAATACCAAATAAAATTTTTTTTTCAATGAAATCCACATATATAAAAACAATTGCGCTACTATAAAATAGGATTTAAAAAATAAAAAGCATATTATACTTAATACTAAAAATTTGAACAAACTAAAAAGATTTCGCTCTATTCTGTTAAAAAACGCTTGCTATATAGAGACTAATTTAGAGTTTTTAATTGTAACATAGATTATTATATTTAATATTGATTATTAAATAATTGTATAATCTAATAGTTTATTTTAGCATTAGAAAAAACAAAAACATAACAAAAAGATAACGAATCGTTACTTTCCATGTAACGGTAACGCGTTACTTTTTAAAATCAGTAACGAGTAACGATAACGAGTTACTTTTTACAAAAAATAACGGTAACGGTTACGCGTTACTTTTATAGAGTAACGTTCCCAACCCTGTATATATATACAGGGTGTCCTTGACCACCCGTAAACTTCTTTTTTTTCAAAAACTAAGCATTTTAGAGAAAAACGTTTTGAACAAAAATTGTATGGTTTTGAGGGGAACATAAGATGGTGTCATTGGATTGACCTTGGATGGCATCGTTAAGGTCAAGTCAAGGACACCTTTAATTTCTTAAATGGAATCCCCTATTTTTTATTGCATATTCTTATAGTTTACTTCGAGAGCTTTCCAAAACACTAATAAAGTATTTTTTCATTAACTACTTTTTGAGTTATTTTATATTTTAGTCTGACAGATTTTGATATAAAAAATAAAATATCTCGTAAAATATTTAGTTTTCGATAATCTTATCGTAATACTTTTACAGTGTATTTTTTTAAACAATTATTTGTTTTTTTCTTTACACTAATTGATTTGTCTATAGAAGGCCTCTCCGGAAACTGGCTGTTGCACTACTTCGGAGAGGCCTTCCGCCTGCGAGTCTGTCACGTGGGGGGGAGTATTGATCTCCCCCCCAGAGTCCCCGTTATCTTGGGAACTCCCGCTCGTATTGGGGAGAGGGGGACCACCACCCCTCTCTCCCACTTCCCGTTGGCGTGGCGGGGTAGACGTGGCCGGGCCCGAGTACCCCACTCGGGTCGCCGGCCACCTAACTACGCCCAGCCCACCGAGCTCTTTTGTACGCCCGTACACTTCCGCGTACATCTGGGCGTACAGCTCGATGGGCGGCAGTCCCGCCAGGACGGAGGCCGCCGCATGCGACACTGTCCGGTATCCGCGGATGACCCTGATGGCAACCCGCCTAAATATTCGGCGCAGCAACATTATCCATCACGACATAGGCCGCATCCGGGGGGCTCCGTGCATACGGTTCCGCCTCCCCCGACGGAGCAAGAGCGCCTCAGACTTATGAGGCGCCACCTCCAGACCCATGCCGCGGATTGCGCGGACGACGCACGCTATCGCCACGTTGGCCGCTCTAACGGCTTCCTCCCAGCTATCTCCCCCGGCCAGCACTATAGTGTCATCGGCATAGCCGACGACGCTGCAACCGGGGGGGAGGGCAGTACCAAGGACCTTGTTGTACGCGAGGTTCCACAGAGTTGGGCCCAAAACTGACCCCTGTGGAACCCCGCAGTACATCCCCCTTCTGCACAGGAGTACATGGTTATCCGTGTACTCCAGCCGCCTGTTCCGGAAGTAAGCTTCCAGAATCCCCACCAGGTAGGGGAGGAGGCCAAAGTTGACGGCGGCTTCCCTCACCCTGTTCCAGGGCAAGGTGTTAAACGCGTTGCGGATATCAAGAGATACCGCAACGACCACCCTGCCCTCCTCCATGATGGACTCCGCGAGGGATCTGACGCGAAAGATCGCATCGATTGTTGATCTTCCCTCGCGGAATCCAAATTGATCCTGGTGGAGATCCATTCCCTCCCGGGACAGATGCCGGACGAGGCGATCTACCAGCAAGCGTTCCAACAGCTTGCCCGCCTCGTCCAGCAAGCATATCGGCCTATAAACAGAAGGGGAGTTCCCTGGCTTGCTCCCCTTTGGGATAAAGATCAATCGGGCCCTCACCCAAGCCGGGGTGAAATACCCTTGCCTGAGACAGCTCGTAAAGAGCTGCCTCCGGCGCTCGGACAGGTGGTCCAAGACCAGAACCCAGACCCGGCCGGGGATACCGTCGGGGCCCGGGGACTTATTGCCCCGCAGCCTTATCCGACGGATTACCCCGGCCATCTCGTCCCTCGTCACCTCCAAGTCCTCGGTGTATGGAGCGGCGACCACTTGGCCGCCGCTCGAAAACGGGGGACCCTCCAAAGGAAAGAGGGTCCCCAGGACCTCATCGAGGACCGGTGGGGATGGACCTGCGCCAGCCGTAAGCTGATAGCAGAGAACGAGATGTAAGCGCTTACGTATTACGTATATGTTTTCTCCGCCTTACAATACAATACGCCACGA